ATTCAAACAAACAATACTAACTGAATTTAGTTCTAACTGATAGTTTGTAGGTTTAAATATGTACCGAAAATTATCTGTAAACTAATCAAATATTCTACTCTTAATTACTTAATTTATCTAAACAGGTGAAACGATACTAAGGATATGACTCAATAGATGTTGTATAACATTAAACTTTATCAAATTATTCCCCTTAATTACCTATATACAGCCATATGGACAATCAAATAATTATTAAAGTATATAATGTCTATGATACTTGGGCAATATTTTCTATTCATGATTGAAGTGAAACGATTAAGTTCCAACTTAACTGTGATTCGTGCAAAGAATATTTTCATAGTTGAAATCATGAGTCAATTGAAGCTAGACCACCATCGAAAACCTGGAAGTACTGGACGGTCGTTTCGTCCTATTATGGGATTCCTTACTAGTGCGCATCCACGATCCTGCCTCGCGAGATTCGAACCCAGGACCTACCAGTCTCGCGCCAGAGCACTTAACCAATAGACCACTGAGCCGGCAACCAACGGTGTTAATATCTAACTTCAACCAATCCATGAAATTTGAGCAACCATTCACCAATAGTCTGCAATGAATTGATATTAGTACAACAGACTTCGTAGAACTCCACTGATCACTGCTTTCCACTAGAACTCAAGGAAATATCTCTTGCAGTCAGTCACTAGTGAGTATATCGTGGATTGGTTGAAGTTAGACATTAACACCGTTGGATGCCGGCTCAGTGGTCTATCGGTGAAGTGCTCTGGCGCGAGACTGGTAGGTCCTTGGTGCGAATCTCGTGAGTTCGGGATCGTGTATGCGCACTGGTGAGGAGTTTCATAATAGGACGAAACGACCGTCCAGTACTTCCAGGTTTTCGATGGTGGTCTAGCTTCAATTGACTCATAATTTGATCTATGAGGATTAAAACTTGTAGGTATTATTAACAATTTACGATAAGTTTATTTGTCCAAAAAATCTACAAGCCATCTGTTTGATTAAAGTACAATGTACTTGTTACTTATGTATTGAAAACAGTATTTTAGATGTTTGTATTCCACTAACAGCCTGTTTATTTGTTAGATCAGTCCATATCATTAATTTCCAAATACCAGGTCAAAAATATGGTTGATTACAACATATTTGGGAAAAGATTCCCACATAATTTAATATTCATTAAACAACCATAAAATTCCAAGCATATTCGGCTGACTCATTAGAAATACTAGTAACGACTCTCATCTTGAAACTGGAAAAGTTTGCTTTGCACAATCCATATTTTTATTGTTAAGCCACAAAATCCAATTTCTGGTATTAAGTGATGATATGTTATCTTTCAAGTAATCATTTAATTTAAAGGTTTCGACTCCTACAATTAGACTTAGTAGTGAAAAATTATAACTTTAATAAATTAGATGATGGTAAGCTCTTGAAAAAAAAACCTGAAACTAAGCAAACCTACTAGTCATTTAGATTTTAATTTTGATTATCGATTTAAATGATTAAAAATAATGTCTTAATCCAAACAAACCAGCTTGACAGTTTTTTTCCCTTTGGCTGATATAGCTTTCGTAGAGCACTATGGGTAGAAAGCTCATTTTGATATGTCCTAACATAATTTTATCTGATCTTTGCTACCAAAATGAAATCTTATTTTAATTATAATGGTTTTTCAAGCATATTTTTGATGGGTTTCAATTTAATCACTTTTAAATTATATACTTTACTCGATTTAGAGCGATTAAATTAAACAGCCCAATTAATAAAAGTAATGTATTACCAGAAGTAAAATAATTTTCATGCCTCAACAGTGGCTTTATTAGGAGAATAAACTCAGCACAGCTGTATGATCAGTGCGAAGTTAAATCTGAATACGCCGATCGGTCCATTGTTAATCAACTAGTACTGGTTAATAGACCAGGAAGAGATCAATTTCATGGGTAAATTTTATGTTAACTCTTGTATATGTCTTGTATCCACCTGTTTCTTTCTATGATTTGCATTAAGTCGATCAAAGTGAAATTTTTAAAGAGTCCTACACAAGTGAGAAACAAACAGCCTTTAATCTGGAAACTTTTATATTTGCTTAAAATAGATGAAATAATGTTTATCCTATGATGAACTAGTCAAATGGTTTGTATATGCTACACGGCCGTTTAAACGGAAGTGGGTAAAATGTAGTTCAAACCTCCAACTTAGAGACTGAATTTTATATGAATTATTCATTATTATGCCGCCCCAGTTTACTGTATAATTATGTCATTTCAAACAACTCTAATTATTTATTAATAAAGAGAATGTTAAGAAATGATTATGAGGTTAACTCCGTTTATTACAAGTAACTGTTATATACTCCAATTAATTCATAATGAGTTTTATCATTATTACTCGATAATAGGCGGCTTCTTTATATTGAAAAATAATAATATATCAATTAATAAAGAATAAGCCATAATAATGGCTTAAAATACTAACAGTCTAGACATTTTTATTTTAAATATAGTCAGTAAAAATGGATTTTGATAATTTGTTAATGGAATTTAATTTCCACTTGAAAAACAAATAGTCTATAAATTCACTTGGTATTGTTTGGTTGAATCTTCCCATTGATGTTTAGGACAGCAATTGATCAGTCACTTATTATCATATGTGCATACTGTGTGTATTGACTCGATATAGTCTTAATTCACAAGCATTATAAGCAAAGATGGATAGTGGCTAGCAGAGAGAGACTGATCAATTGCAGTTCTAAATAACAATAGGAAGATACAAGTAAACAACACCAACTGAGTTTAAACTTCACCCCATTGCACAAACAAGTGGCTATCAGGACTCAGTAGCTGAGTGGATAACGCAATGGCGTTTGAAGCAAAAGGTACTGGATTGAAGTCCCAGAATGAACATCAACTCTGAAACGCAGGTATATCCAGCTGACAAGTCCCAGATAGGACGAAACGCGCGTCCTGGATTCCACTGCTACTCACTATCCATCTTTGCTTCTAAAGTCTACAAATTGCTGAAATTATTTTGATATTTTTTTTCAATTCTCATATATATCTTTTTTCGGCCGTTCAGTGCTTCCAAGTTTTCCATGGTAGTCTAGCTTAAATTCACTCATGATCTCAACCATTGAAATAACTATACTATCCGTAAAACCTCTTCTGATATATATTTTCATCAAATAATTTAGTTAAATAATTAAATTAATACTACTTACAATGAATAATATTAATTGTTAATCAATTTTAATTGTCTTTTATTTGATAATAATTACAAGAACTAGTAATATTAATTTTATTTTAAGGTAAAATATTTAATTATTTGATTAGTTATTTTTATTTGTAAGACTAGTACATTATTAACGTTTTTAAATTTGATCTTATTTTTTAATCATATATCAACAGAACTACTATTATCCACATAGACAAAAAAATAGAATGTTGGGATTTTGCATAAACAGCTGACCGAAAGACACTAAATTGGTTGTTATAAATAAAAGAGGATAAAATAAGACATAAGGAATAACATGCGAATGATGTGGCAAAAAAATGGGTAATGAACATATATATCCTTGTTGACGTTAGACATTAACATCGTTAGATGTTGGCTCCGTGGTCTAGAGGTTAAGCAAAACCGAAGGTACTAGGTTTGAATCCTGCGAAGGGGATCGTGGATGTGCACTGATGAGTAATGCCATACCAGGACAAAACGGCAGCCCAGTGTTTCCAGGTTTTTAATGATGTTCTTACATTGATCCATTCATGATTTCAATCAGAACTCTATCTTGTAAATACGCTTTTTTTACAAAAACGTCTAATGGTCCTCAGATTACTTATAGCATTAAATAAATTTAAAATCCGTTAACAATAATTATGGATCAACACCACTAGATTTTCACGAACATAACCACAATATAATAATGTAAATATCTCGATTATTTTTGCCAAACATTACACTTTTATAGAATTATTTATGAGTTAGCCTGGTCTACAAGAGATATTTATGATTGACGTTGATTGATAAAACCTGATATTCATCTCTTATCTTTTCTAAAAATATGTTTATTTAAATCAGCGCTTTTACTAAGGTTTTTCGAGTTACTTTCGTAAAAAAGACAGATCTTAAAGTCCAACGAAAATATACGGATTTTGGTTTCCCCTTTAGATTACCCAAATATGTCTTACTTACTTGAATACAATAGATAGATATTTTCAATCTCATTCTGTTAAAACGAAGTTTCATTTCAATAACTATAACAGCTAACCTTTCATTATCAGCAAATTATTTTCAAAGTTAAATTTAATAATTGACCATGAAACATTTTTTCAGTAAGTGTTTTTAGTGGCGAATATTTGACTGTAACACTTGTATTAGCAAGAAAAATTAATGACAATCAATTATCAAGACAATTTGTCGACCGTAGTAAAGATATACAGAGCCAAAATTTTGAATCAGTCTATTACTTTGTGTATGGCAGAATTTATCAGTTTTTATGACAAAGTCGCATATTTGAGACTTCAACCTATTAAGTTATATACAAAGAAAAAACTTTAGCTTCTTGAGACATGTGTAAATGGTGTTTCGCTCTAAGTTAACTAGGACTGTCGTACCACACAACCATATGGGCAATCTACAGTTACTAGAAATATCGTAAGTGGATATTTTATTGTGAATCACTTAAATGAAATAATTAAATACTCAGCTAACCTCGTTTTAATTCCATATTTGAAACAAAAAAGCTTCATCAATACAAGGATTTGTGGTATTTTTACAGTTTAATCCACGAGTTGATCGTGGATGCACACTGCTAAGGAGCCTCATACTAAGACGAAACAGCCGTTCAGTACTTCCACGTTTTCAATGATGGTCTAGCCTAAACTCTCTTGTGAAGTTAACAAGGCTTTTGGTATAATTAGTAATAAAACACTGATGCTCTACTGCTAACTATGAAAGATATAAGAAGACGTAATCACTTTGTTGAATTACCGTTAACTCACCCTTGACTGAAGAAGGTCGAGTAGCTCTGTCCAGAAGTCTGAATTTCCATAATCTTGTTGCACGGCAACACTCATCCGATTAACCATGAGTATAATTAACTGAAATTCGACAAATAATTTCAAATTAAGTAGTATATTTTTATTAAATCATAAGCAAAAGATGAAATAAGTTACCAGTTTACTTCAAGCACTTAAAAATCTTTGCTGTTTATATCACCAAAAGCACTCTTACCTTAAGCGTAGTGTAGAACAGCAAGTAAGGTCGCATATATCGTATTCTTACATTTCTAGACATATTTATCATATGATCTAAAGATTATACAAAAAATAAGAATCTATTCATGTGATACTTTCTTCGTAGTGCCATCCATAAACGATAAATGCCTAAAGTTTATTCACATTAGCTTTATTGTGATTTACGTATTTCTGTGTCTTTTGATGATAATATCATTGTAAACGAGCTCATATTGATGACATATTAGGTCCTACTATTAGTTTTACCAATATTAATCGAAGCGACAACATAATTGAATTAAAATAAATGGATGAGCAAATAAATTGGTAATCAGCTGGGATGCAGAGTTACATTCGCCTGTTTCTTTACAAATTTTGTCAGGCCGTAAAGCCTTTTAAAGCTTAAGCTTCCTTCTCTCAAAAAAGATGAGATGTTTTTATGTTGACTTAAGAACTGAAAAGGGTAAAAATCATCGGGAGCTTTAAAATTTTGATCAATGGATAGGTGGTAGAAGCCGACAACATTCTAGAATCGCAAAACGAAATCACCTTTTTTTCACAAGTTTACTGGGTGACTGATTGTTTTCTTAATTCGTTTTGATCACTTAAAGAGTTTATGAGTCATATTCTTGGCTTGATAGCATTGACTTTACGGTCCGGATAAATTTATTTCATGAAAACACAAAAGCTGATCCATCAAATATCCTTCCACATGTTTGAATTGAAATAAACCAAAAACATCGATTTCAGCCTTATTGCATGTTGTATATAAAAATGTTGTCTGAGCAATATTTCGTAAACACAGACGAAACGTAATTAAGTGGTTGGACGATAGAAAGCGCAATTTTTCGAGATACTCAAATTGTTTTTTTGATAATGGCTTCAATTATTAGAAAGCCTACAGCCTAAAAGTTGCAACAGGCTCTTTGGTTTTATTGATTTCCCAAAAACTAGTCACAAACATTTATAAACTTATTTTCACTATGTGCATCGAAGTAATATTGTCGGTGATTTTTAATAATAACTTTTAAGCAAGTATTTTTTACCTAAAGAGGATAAATAAAATCTAACGAATTTTCAGAGAATACTGAGATGCGTAATGCACCATACTGACTGTCAACCTATAATTTCACGTATTCTTAAATACTGTCGTTTCGAAATGGATATATAAAAATTGAGACAGACAGGTTTTCGAAAACGGTATTTTTATTTACTTTTTGAGTGTGATGCTCAGCAAAATATTTTTAGGGCAAGCGCGATGCAACCCATGTATTTTGCTAACAGACTAATTAAAAAATTGACTTTCATCGACAGCACATGACATATGGCTTGTTTGTCAAAAACAATTTTAAAAATTTCTGGCGAAGTCAAAAAGAGACACTTACGTCTCTTCTGAAAACAGTTGTTAGAGTTCCAATAACTAGACAAGCCATGAACAAGCCACAAAGTAATGTGAAGAACTGAGATAGGATATTACAAAAATCTCTTCTATACCGTAACCAAAATACAGCGATTTTCAAGTGCAGCACCTGCGCATCCTAAAATTGAGAGTAGCAAAATAACTCCTCCAATGGATATAGTTGAATATGCTGATATTCTTAACAAATGAGGTCCCATAATATCCAAAAATATTTGAGGCCAAAATAAGGCCCAACAGGCTATTACGATAGACGATAGCCCAACAAGTATAAATATGACATTCAAACACAACAATAGACACTTGACACACATCAAAGATGAACCCTTCCAACACATTTGATTACGAATTCTGGTTACACGACCTTCAGGTTTGTAATATCGCAACAAAAGAGTACACCTAATTTGAAGAATTTAAACGAAATAACATGCCTAGCTCAGCAGTATAGCCACACTGGTATTTTTCGATGAAGAACTTGATTAGTGCATATTACAAATATCCTGGATAAAACCATTTATTTTGGAGATTTATTTGCCGTTACTGCACCCTGAGATAAGCAGTAATAACCCTAGGATGTGACCAGTCAGAAGTTTTGATCAAACAGGCTTGCTGTCGGTAGATACCCTTCTGATAGCTTGCTATGTCCAGCAGCATATGCTCTCCCTTCTTTACTATACGGAGCCATGTGATACAAAATATCGAAAAATATGCGGGAAATATTTCAGTTCATTATATTTGATAGTTAATCAAATTTCCTAGCCAGCCTAAAAAGACAAAAACTTGAGAATGCAGCCACATATTGAAACACACTCGTACTTGCTCAAAGAATAAAATTGCGTTAAAAATTCTGATAAATATGTGGATATTTACTATGCGACAGAGAGAAACTTTTCAAACAAAATGTTAGGTTTTCAGATTTTTTTGGAAAAATAAGATATTCACATGTATAAGTAATATAAGACGAGAAACGATTACCTTTTTATGTTCGCGTTCTAACATAAAAACTAAAATGCAACTAAGTAATTAACAGACGCAAAAATCAAGACAAAACAAAGTTATCCTATGTCCTACATGCAGCTGTCGTTTATGTATTCTGGAAACCTTACCATTCCTACAGAGTGTTATTTTCGGTTGGTTTTTTGAAGCCAGAGAAGTACAATCGTGATTGTTGTTTATTGAGGGTGGCTTCGCAATCGTAAGGCTAGCACAGTTCGATTGTTCAGGAGGAAATTTAACTTAGTTAGGATTTCCCTCTAAATTAACGGCTTTAAGGCTGTCACTTCCTGCGTTATCATGAGTTTATTTTAACGATGGTATGGTAATTAGCTTTGAGATGAACGTCTATGAAATTTCTTTCGTATGCCTTTTAAGTGGTCGGCGTAATAAATCGTGGTGTACGAAAACGTGCGCGCTATGTCATAAAACGGACTGTAAGATCCAGTTTGAAGCTTTTGTGTGTGAAAATCCTTCCATGAAAACATTTGTGACTTGGTCTTATTGGTTTCTTTAGTTGAACATTTTGTTGGCCTTTTTGACGCCAATTGAGATGGTAATCTTTTATTTCAATATAGTTTTCTCATTTTTTTGCTTTCACTGAGATTCTGTGTTTCTTCCGTACCTGTATTTATATTTTTTTAGTTGATACTCATTCTTGACAGCAGCCATATTAATTTTTCCACCTCTGATTGTGAATTGAAGCACTTTCCCAGAATTGGAAACACCTTTTTTGTTGCGCTCCGTAATTTTCTTACATTCCCTATCAATTTGTATATTTATTTTAATTTAGATCGATTATTAAGGGAACATTTATTGGTTGAATAACTGAGTGGTATTATTTGTTTAGGTATTAATGTACATTGGTATTTATAAGGAAATTTAGAACCGCTATTTTCCCAATCCCCTTGTTTTGGTTTCAACAGTGCGATATCGCGTGTCTAAACTACCCAGACAGTTATTCTTCGGCTAAACCTTACTTTGAAACGTACACATCAGTTGACCTAAGTCGAGTCAAAACAGGTTAAACTGTACACACAGTTCTTGTAGGCCTTTTCGTGAGAGTTTAGATCTATATTCTCTAGGAAGATGAATGTTCCACAAACTACCCTTGAAGTCTGAATGCCGTTCTATAAGCGAGTTGTGTTGTTGTGTATCCAGTGTCAGATTTCACTGCATTGCGAATACTAGTTAACATGGATGAAAGATCATCAATCCATTGTGAAACGTTTGCATCTGAGTAAATCTTTAAACATACAGTGCTAAGTTGTTAGTGGTAAACGATGTTTTCGAATCGTGGGATTCCCATTGATGTAGTAAGACAATCGAAAAATCTGGATTTGAAACGGTGTTCATGACTGTGGCAGTAGTTTGAGGGCAGTGGATATTTGAAACCCATCGTTCAACAGATGAGCGGACTATCTTTTGGGCAGAAATGCCCTTGATTAGTACTGCTTCCGGCTATCGTGTGAAGCGCTCCACAGATGATACGAGATAAGAGTATTAATGTAAGTCCACTTAGGGCACATCTAAGTCGAAATGAACAGGGTCGAAACAAGCATCGAAAGTGGCGAACGAGGCCAGTGACACTTGTTTCGTCTAGTCACCCTAGCTTACACAAGAGCACTTATACTCCATCACACCTTGATTCACACCAGGTCAGCAAAATCATCCTGCCATGGGCTTGATGGTTTCCGGAAAGTCTGGATGAGTATTCCTGTTCAATATATTAAAGACATTTCGCGACTGGACGAACCCTACCTGAAGATGCATCACACAGTAAAGTTGCCCGTTGCAATCTGTTTGATTAGTAATTTCTGAGTTGTCAAGGGTCAGCGAAGAACAGTGAGTTGTTTTTTTTAATTTGGGCGTGTTTAAAAGTGTTGATGTATTGGTAACTATGCAAAGAAGTCAAACGAGACGAGATATCTGCAACTATGTTGTCAGCCTTAGAAGCATGGTGTACATCCTAAATGAGCTGAGATATTTCGTTCAAATTTCAAATCTCTCTAGGAAAGTGCTAGACTGCAGACGATCTTATAGAGAATACAAAAGGTCTGTGATGAGTAAACGGGATGAGTTCTCGGTTTTACATAGAGTGTTGAAAGTGCCGTACAGTACAACACATAGCTAGAAGTTCCTTGACGAGATTGTCATAATTTGTTTCATTGTCTTATGAACTTCTCGAAAAGAGTACCAAAGGTTCTTCGTTGCTGTTTATCCATTGCTGTATGACTCCCATGATTTTGAAGTTCCATGCGCCTACGGCAATATTGATGGGCGTTTTGATGTCCTGATATCAGTGCATAGTTCCTTTTTGTGATAATTTCTTTAACTGTGGAGAATATGTTTTTTGCGTTGTCGTCCATGCTGATGATTTTCACATTCCCTCGGAGTTGGTCTGTTAAGGATCCTATAAGGGAACCACATCCCAGTATGAAGTGTCGATAGAGACTTACAATGTCGTCAAATGAGCGTAATTTCTTACTTGTGGTCAGTTCTGGGTAATGTGGAATAGCCAACCACTTTGATTTTCAGAGGTGAGATGTCTTGAACATCAATGGTGTGTCTGAGAAGATACAGGGAGTCAGTCCCGAATCTGTATTACCAGATGTTTTCGCCAATTCAAAGTTTCGAAAGTCACTCGCAAACAGCGTCCATTTGATGGAGATGAGATTCTTTGTTCAAATTTGCGACCAAGCAGTCATGTACGAACGTATTAATGGGTTCAAAACTCTCGTTACGTCATCAACGAACCTCTGAAAGTTTGTGCAGAGTTTCTTACACCAGAGGACATGTGAGTCCGAAAAAGATGATGATCGCCGTCTGAGGAATGTCGTCCGCAGTCACAGAAATTCGGTTACATGCTTCGGCCAGATACCTTTTCCAGAAAACAACCATGCCTCTTAAGATAGCTGTTATTTCATGGATGTTTGACAAACGGTGACGATCCGAAGTGGTTTTCCTATTCATTCACCGATAATCATCAGTTGAGCGCCAATTAATGTCATCCTTATAAAGGACCATGTGCAAAAGAAATTCCTATGAGCTTTCTGACGATTGGATGATGCCCAAGTCTATCATGTATTAGAATTCGTTTTTTACCAACCTTGGCTTTTTATGAGCCAGTTGGTGCGTTTACGAAAATACAGGTCGCCCTGTAGTTGTACTGTTGTGTGTAACACTGCCGTTTGTTTGAAGTAGTTTTCGTCAAGTTTTGTAAAGCTAGGGGTATATATCCACTGTTTTTTGGTGGTATGAGTCAATTATACGTTTGACCGTGATTGGACAAAGCCTGGAACCAGAAACTGCAGTCCTATGAACATGCCTTAGAATTTTTTTCCATCAGCCTCTGTTTGTCAAGCTCCAAGTACGCGTTTTCCCAAGGTCATAGCTTGCACCAGGCGTTCCACAAATCTACTTTATAATAACTACAAACTTAAAAGGCTGCATTGGATAAATACTTAGCACAACCAAAATCCTAATACAATTTTTTTCAAGATTGGATCTGGTATGTAACGTAGATGCGATGCCCCTTTGGAAAATATTTTGAAGAGAACACGGTATATATGAACGAATGAACTGCTATCAACTTTTATAGATTATATTTACTGAACAACCCTGCTTGGGATGCATACTGTGAACCAGTATATGTTGTAACCTGTAGATCATGCCTGTAAAAATGGCGTGTACCTGCCCTTGCAGAAATATATTATTATCATGTCGTAGCAGGCCTATACCAATGGCACGATCAGAAACATTTTCATCAACGAAAATCCAGTGAATGGGTTTGCGGAAACCCACATAAGGATAAGTATATATCTTACAGTCTGTAACGATCGGTAAGTTTGAGGCCGGTTCATGAAGACAGTCGTTGGAATTCACGGGAAGAGCACTTACTTCTGAGCCAGTGTAGACGAGACAAATAACCTTCACCATCACATAAGTGGTGTATAATGGACGTCTCTGTTCACTGGTTACAATTGCGTTAACGCGTGCCAATGGAGAAACAGAGATCTGTTATGTCTTATTGTTTCGTATATGGCTTTTCTTTGACCAAGTAAAACTCGAAGCTAAGAGTTCTGGTGATCTTCAGGATCCGGTCGACTTATGCAGTAAGTTCGTCCACGAGGTTATTTTAAAATGAGGAGAGAAACGCTTGCACAGTTGGGGAAGCTTAGATAAGAAGAGCTGCCTCAAATATCCGTTTACCAGTGATCTTTCGAGTACGCAGCTACATTTCCGTTACTAAGCCATGCTGCAATTCGATTTCGCGGAAGAGTTAATCTGACATTTGACGATCGGTCGGGTCTCCACGTTTACGGTTTGTTTTTTCTCAAGTGTA